AGATGTCAATCCCTATACTTCAGATATTTCAGTAGATGATTCACATTAAATAAGTATTTCTGTAGTATTTTTATAAAGTTTCAAATTTTTTTAAAAAACTGTCTTACAGTTAGTCTCACAATACAGTGAAAAGCCCAAACACTTGTGCTGACACTTTGAGAAAATCATCACAGTTACATAGGAGCCCAGATTTTGTAGTGGGTTCTACAACGTTGACTAAAGCTTAATTCCCTAGCTTTGCTATGTATAGGAAGAAACTTTTACCTCTCCAAGACATTTCAAAATTACTTGGGTTTTCTTTTTGTTTTTTACTTGAACAACTCTTAGTACAACTTGTATTTAATTAATTTGAAAAAGGATTGTAAAATAACATCCCTTTGACAGGAAAACTTAAGGGTTGTAGTTGATTACAAATGTAGCATATGTAAGCAATTTAGTTTTTAACAAAAGCAAGTTGTATTAATAGAAGTACAAAACTGTATAGTATCCAGAACAAAGTGTGTGTATGTGTGTGTGTGTGTGTGTGTGTGTGTGAGAGAGAGAGAGAGAGAGAGAGAGAGAAAGTGAGAGAAGAGAAAGAGATGGTCCTGTTCTCTATTCTGTGTGAATAAGACCATTTCTGGAATGATGTGCTGAGTTCTGAGTGCCACATTTTAAAAGACATGACTGACCAGTGTGTGCCCAGAGAACAGGGACCATAGTATTAAGAGACTCCAAACTATCATTTGAAAAATGGGTGGTTTACTGAATAGAAGACTTGATAGTGGCACAAGGGATATCATGTATAAGACCTATAACATTTATTTTTTTCTGTGTAATTGCAGACAGAAGAAATAAGACTGATGGGCAAAATATGGGGAAGGTTAATTTGGGTTCAGAAAGCATTTATTCAGTAACCACACAGTGACTTTTTTTTTCTTTGCTCTCCACAATGCAAATTAAGCAGCAAAAGTACTTGACTTTAAGCTTTAAATAGAATCGGTGCCTTATCAGATTCTTTGGTGGAGTTGTTATACATAAATGCATGAATTTATATTTGCCCTTATATTTAAGAATGCCCATCCTGCTTGTTTTCTAGGCATATGCACCTGTATATACCTATGTACACACATATATATACACACTCAGGATAGTAGATTTTAAGAGAGTAGATGTTGAGTTAGCTACCACTAGCCACCCATACATACATTACTATGATCAAGACATGTATTGACTCATAAGAATAAATAATAATAGGATCTCATTCATTTAAAATTAAAGTTATAAATTGGCTTTATTCTGAGCATTAATGTGATTAAAATATCCCCATGCATTAACTGCATTAAGGATTCAACAAATATAAATAATTCAAAAAGTTTGAGATTTTAAACTCTATGCTATGTACATATTTTTTAACTTGGTAATTTATTTCTTAGAATGAAGTCCCAAAATATAGAAGGAAAAAATTCTCCCCTTGAAATAAAAGGACTTAAACTGGATATCTGAAAAAAATAAAAATATATAGGTTTTTAAAAATTTCCTGAAACATTTAATGGACTGCCAACAGTTTAAGAACCATAAAATATTTCAGTTTCTACAGATTATGGCTGAATAAAGCAGGGCTATAGTCAGTAATGTAGAAGTCACCTTAGTAATACACAAAATCAAAATCAGATTTACTTTTTTCTGCCTGTTTCATTGGTTTTAGTTCTAGAATCCTGGCATTCCACTTCTGATATTTCTTCTAGTTATTTCATGCAATATTCAACTTAAGTAAATTTTCTTTTAATAAATATGAACTAATTAAAGGGGAAGTATTGATATATATCAAGTGGACATTAAATTCATATAGAGGGTTATGCTCCTAGAAAACTATGCTCTAAGTAAAATGATAGGTCAATTTTTTTCAATACAGAAATATTATAATAGGATCTCAGACATTTTAATCAAAGGCTAAATGCCTAACTGTTAAAAAAAATCATCGCAAAACTAGTCAAAGGCTAGTTATTTGCAAATTTTTTGTTTACCTGTTTGCTTTATCTTTATTTGCTTGGTCTCATTAGTACTAGGTTTGCAAACTATAGCCCTAGGGAATGTGATTTTTTTTTCTTTTTTATCAAATGTCCTCTAGACAATATATATTTCCCGCACAATAAGAAATACATTGCTTCCAATGTCAAAAGAATCAAGAAAACTAATAATAATTTATAGTTTATGACTAGCTGTGTTTACTATTGAAAAATATGCAGTGATTCCAAGGAGGTAAAATCAAATCCTGTGATCAGTTTTTCAGAAAGCAACCAGCTGACCCTAAACTTCACCTAACTTTGTCCTAAAAACTTCTCAAAGAGGTTATTTGGAATTTTGGAAAGGGTACTTTTTGATTGTCCTGTGAAGTTAAAGACAAGCTACGTATCATAGTAATAACCCAGGCAATGGTACTATCAGCAGCAACGTTAGATTTCGCCTGCTTTATATTACACGTATTTATTAACTTGTCTTCCTGTAGTTTGAATTTGTACCTGAAGAGGAATACAAGTCCTTTCATAGAAAACCCTATAATGAAAAAAACATTCCTCAGAAATAGGTTTTGAAAGTTATCGTTTCTATGGGAATCATTTATTGTGATTTTCTTTCAATAATGAACTAAAGTATTGATTGGAAGCCAAAGAAGAAGCATCTTATTTCTTCCTTGTACTGAAATTTTGAGGAAGGAGAGACAGCGGGAGTTCAGAAAAGAAAACTAATGTATACCTTCCAGTAATTTTAGGAGGATATTTATTTTATGAATAGAATTAAATTTGCCCTCAAAGTGCTTGTGGCGCCTAGAACTTTAAACCTGGTTGTCAGAGGGAGCATAAAGAAAGACTTCTTCTGTTGACATAAGTTAGGTTTTAGATAAACACATTTCCTATGAGATAATCAGTGATGTCCACTGAGTTATCACTGAGTCTAGAATTATGTTTATAAAACACATTCAGTCAAGAAAGAGCAGAGACCATTTAATGCTGACCACAGGAAACACAGTATTTTAATTACAACAATCATAAAACCAGTGTCCATTAAAGACATATTCTCAATATCACAGCTTTAGAGAGTTTTGGTACCCAATTAACAGTGCATCTAGGTGTAACCCTAACCTGACATATGGCAGGGTAGGACTTTGGGTGCCAGTACTCAGAGCACCTGTTACATGAGTGGGCCGTGAGCAAAGATAAAGAGGAGATACCAGCACACCTTTTTTTCCCAAAAAAGTATTTTTGGCAGTGTATACCATATAGGCATACTTTAATGGATAACATGCCATATCTCGTGATCGTGTGTAACTAGTAATATGATATAAAACATTATATTGGATCAACTGATGAAAATAATCTGCTCCTTATGGACAAGTGGACATACTTCTGTGATGAGTAACAGGAGCTTCATTTCCATAGACTGTTTCCTGGCACCAAATACTTAATGTGTTTTCACTATCACTTTATCAAATGATACTGGAAGTTTCTAATGGAGTTGTGTGATGTGTGAGGTCTCAAACTATAACAATTTGTTTAATGATAGAAATGTATTTATTATATAGATAAGTCGATTATATTTTGTTGATTCTCTAACATTTAATTACATTTAGCAGCAAAGTTTTACTTTAGTGTTTACTATATACTGTGATGATAGCTGTTATGCTGTAGAATACTTTGATAATTTAATCTAATATAAGAAAAACCTCAGTCTTTAAAATAATATGTATGCATGTATGTAGCTGTATGTCTCTGGTAAGAACCACTAAAACTTTCTTTAAAATGTGTTAATTAATGAAATAATGAAAATCTCCTTAGATTTAGACAGAATATTGCTATTTTAAAGTTTAAAGATGTGAATTTTTCTTCATAGATTTTGAATTTTGCTTAAATAATTCAAATAAATGATAACTAACTGCTTTCTAGGGAATGTTTAAAAACTTTTATCTTATAAATTAATTGTAAATATTTGATAGAAATAAAGCAGTTCCATGAAATTGTTAGTGTATTTTGAGCTGTCTAAACCTGGAAACTCGGAAGCCAAAGTAAATTCCTATAAGAAGGAAAATTCCTAAAACTCCATTGACAATACACACATCCTCCCAGGAGTATCTCATTCTAGCCTGTGTGATGTTTACAAACCAGACTTTTCAAAGAGATGACCCCAGAATTCCAGCAATGGAAACTGATAGGCATCTGTCTTTTTACCCAAGACAGAAACCAGATGAATAGAAAGAACTAAAAAGTCTTCCAAGTAATTGCTTTATGTTAAATGGCACTGAGTATGTATTCAAAATTGATCTAATGGCAATCAGCAGATGTGGGTAAGAAAGTAAAACATGCTTGTACATGTATATAAGAATACACATACACATACATACATATATATATATATAAAATATATATATATAGTGATAAAAATTCTGATTTTAGGCAAGAAGTCACTTAAAGCCAGATTTAAATCTTTTTCCAAAGACAGTGTAGGGAGACAGCAAGGTATGCAGGGTTGAAGTGTTTGGGCTCAAATTCCAAGTCTACTGCCTATTACTGTGCAATGACCTGTAAGAAGGTCATTGAGGCAGTATTATCTGCCTGATAGTTTTGTTGTCAGAACAGCAGTGCTTGGCCCATAGAAAGCACGACATCAGACTTCAGTATTATTCCCAGAAGTTTCAAAGAGAGAAAATGAAATGAGATACTAAGTAACATGTGGAAAAAACATAGGCTGTAGGGGACCTCAGTCCCAATCTCAGGTAAGTTACTAGTTGGGTGACCTTTGACATGTTGCCAAACCTCTCAGAGCCTCCATTTCCCTATTTTAAAAATTGAGGTAACAGTTCTGGATTTGGGAAATAAGGAATAGATGGAAAGTCCCTATGCATGATGGATATTCCACATTAGGCTACCTTCCCCCACAACACTAGAACTATTTGTTAAAGACCACAAAAACATCTATGTTCATATATCTTTATGGATCATAAACATTATTCTGTATACTTCTTTTAGGGTGAAAATGGTTTACATGGTGCTCCAGGATTACCTGGTCAAAAGGTAAAGAGTTGCTGAATGTTTCATCTGAGTTAAGAATTTTAACATGTTAAGAATAAATTTGCGTATAATATTCTGAAATTTTATTTGATTAAGCTGAATTTACCCAAAGACTTTTAGAAAGCTGTGGATGTCTTTTCAAAGAGAACTTGTGGAAGCAATCCCCTCTTGAAGGGACCATTCTAGGAGGAAGCTTTATCACAGAGCTTTAGTAAGATGCTTCTCCAAAGAACTAAATGATAGTGCTTTCTGGGGAACGTGGAAGCGTACATAGCTGCTCTGGAAATATATCTGCTTTTATTAGTCGGAGTCTAAAATGTGCAATAGAACAAATTGTACTTCCTTTGACTGGTTTTGGTTACCTCTTGCTTATCTTCTTTTTTGTATATCCCAGATAGAACTAAACATAATAGTTACAATGACATAAAATATTAAATATTACAAAGATGCTGTAGACAACTATCTCTTCAAACATATTTTTCTTTCAGAACAAGGGATTCCTAATAAGTAAGGATTTTTGCATGGGCCAACCTGCCTCTTTCTGTGCCTGCTATCTTTCTCTTTACCAAGGGGAACTTTCTTTGTGCCCCTCTACTGTGCAAGGGCTACTTTCTTCTTCTGGGAAGAAGCATGGTTATCTGTGACAAGCATTACTGAAAACACAGAGACCATTATATTCCAGTTTCTTGGAGGGATGGGGAGCCACTTCAGGTGGGGCCAGCTGTCGTGATACCAGCCAGATAATCCCGCCACAGGAGAGAGCATTATTGATGTAATATTAGATGCCCACCAAAGCCAAGCATATCATTTCTATGCTCTGGAGATGTTTTACAGGTTTTGGCAGCAACATATCACAAGTTACTATGCATGTAGGTTTGTCTCTATAGCTGAAAATACCATTTAAAAAGATATGCACTTATTTATAGTTACAGATTATGTTCAAGAATTTATTTACTTGGCCCAGTAAAGATAATAAGATTGAACTGGCAGCAATGAAATGGCAAGCTTCTGAATTTCTTCACAGCAGCTCTAGACAAAACCCACTGATACAGCATGTGCTGCATCTGCGAGTCGAGTTGCAAGCCAAGGGATGTGCAGATTTATCTGCTGGGAAATAGTTTTGGACTTTCCAGCAGCTGTTTGTGGTGGCTGCATCATGCTGACATTGTGACTGATGTATTGAAAGCGTTCAGCAGCTTCAATGTCAGCTTGAATTAACAGATCAAGTTAAAGTCTATATTTTAGGAAAAATGGTAGAAAAAAATATAGACCATGCATTCAGTGGTAAAAAGCAATACCTAACAACCGACCTATATTCTTTCCTGGTAACTTTTAGGGGGTAAATGAAGCAAAAATAATTATTTAATTAAATGTATGTAACACACACACTTACACACATATTACTTAATTATCTAATTATATTATCTAATTATGTATGCTATTTAATTATATAATCATATACATATATGCAATTATGTGGGTATATACATAAAATAACATACTCACAGACTAAATATGTATGTATATATGCATGCACCTTTCTATATAGTAAAAAGCTGGCATTCCTTTTCATATAATTAGTATAAGTTTTATATACCAAGGATCAACTTGTTGAGGCATTACAGAAAAAATCTAGAGTTCAGAAACCCTCTATCTTCTGTCTCTGTGCACTCAGGAAATGCTTGCTAAATGCTTCTTATGCTCCAGGCCCTCCAAGGGTGGAGAGATACACATGACCCGTTCCCAACATTCACTTGCTGGCTATGTTGTCATGAGTGCCTGACTCAATGAACTTTTGTTGAGTGTGTGAATGAAACATCAGTTAAAGGGAGAAATAAGCTTTGTCAGATCAGAGAGGGTGCAGATGAAGAAAGGGAGACATACACCTTTTAGTATAAATATGCTGATTGAGAGCCAGCAGCCCTCCAAGCACCAATCTTCTTTCTGTGACTGAGCCAGGATAGTGGACAGGAAAAAGCATAGCACTGGTGTCGAAGGTAGAGCCAGAACCCAAGGGTTCAAACCTGAACTCATTCATCATGAGATACTCATCAGAATGGTATTCCACAGGAGTCAGCTTTCTAAGAAGGCTGTTTCCACTGAATCTAGTAAAATAAATAGTAATACTAAGATGAATAGCTAACTTAGTCTTTGTCAGACACTATGAGGATGCGTCAAATTCTCAAGTCAAACCATTGAGGAAGATAGTATTATCATACTTATTTTATACTTGAGAAAATTCAGGCTTATCAAGATTAAATTGCCTTGGAAGTAGTGAAGCTGTAGCTTATAACTTAGAAAATGGTTGCTTTAGTATTTAGAAATATTTAAATCTTATGTGACTTAATATTGGTTTAGAGCTTACACGTTAGAAATGGTTATTTATAATTACTGATTTTTAATTGTTAGAAACATCATTTTGTTGTAAAAATTGCATGTATTGTAAGTATCATTTTTATTACTATATACATTTTATTCCTATTCTACAGGGAGAGCAAGGTTTTGAAGGTAGCAAAGGAGAAACTGGTAAAAAGGTAAATATCTCTTTTTACATTCACATCTGTAAAAATAAATTGTGTTCCTGAAAGTGTTTTGAAATAGAATATTTAACTTGTTTTGTGCATTCCCTATAAGCAATTTAATAATTTTATAGACATAACTAAAATATTTGTTTCAATTAAGGTAGAGTAAATATATTAATGATTGCCAGAAATCTTTCTAAACTTATTTGGATGGTATTAATAGATATTTCTAGTTAAATTTGTTTGATTGATATGGAAATGATTGAAACATTTATAAAGCATTATATTTTTACATTGTGAAATCATTCACAAAGTATCCAATTATTTAAATAAGTGCTTTGTTTATATGTACACCTGGTTTATCAGTGGAATTTTTTCCTGAAGGAATAAATTAGAACAACTAACTGTAAAAGTCAGGATCCCACAGAAAAGAGATGGCATACTAAAACTGGAATAATTTCAAAGAGTTTAATAAAAGCATGGTTTAAAAAGTATGGGCAAGGTATAAGAAAACCACAGGGATTGTGCAGTATCCCAGGTCAGGTTACAGCAGACTCCTTAAACACCACATAATTACCAGACCCAGAGGCAGAGAAAACTGTGTGGCGAAGGCTGGAGACAGTCAGCCCAAGATAAGCACATAAAGAGGGAGCCAGGGCAATAAACACCTCCACCCCACTATCCTCCAGCCTTCAGCTCTCCCTACTGGACCCCACTGGCCAGACCAAATTGAAAGCCAGTATGATGGAGGAAGCCTATAAGCCTCAGTCTCCCAAAGTCCAGAGCAGGTGGATAAGGGTGGACGGTGGATCTTGAGGGAACAATGGCAGATGCCAGCCTACTAATCTAAGTGCTGTCATTTAAAGTAACCTTCTTACAAAACTAAATTCTAAGTGGTTAATTTTACATGTTAATATTCTATTGTAATAAATAATTACTGAAAGTCACTTGATAGTGAAAATATTTTAGCAATCATTGTTTTACAAATTTACAACTTTCTATTCAAAGTACTTTTCCTTCAGATAATCATTTGAATCCTTTTTCATTTCAAAAATCTAGTTTTGTTTTTAAATAAAACAAAAACAGTACCATTCTTTTGTTTAATAACTCTTGTATACATCAAATGTATATATGGAATTGGATGGCCAGGAGAGCTAGAAAGAAGAGTAATCTCAAATTAGACAGTATTGCCTGTATTTTGCTTTCTTACCAGTGACCAGTTATTTGCTTTTTCAATAAGTGTTTATAGAGAGAATGAGCATCTATTGTAATTATAAGACAAATTACACGTTACAAACTACATGATAATTACTTTTCCTCACAGAACTGAGAAAGAAAAAAGAATGGCTTTATAATAACCATACTTTTGGAGATCATTTCATTAAATGATGACTATTTTTAAGGTGAATGTCTTTTCTTAGAAATCCCTTGGACATTTTTCCTTTAGAGTAACAGTCATTGGAAGGCCATGTCTTTAAATAAATGCTTCCTTTATACATATTCCTGATTTATTAAGTGGAATTTTACCTGTAGGAATAAGTAGTGAATAAGCGAAAACAGATATATTCTCTGTAATTTAAAGTCACAAATACACTGAAGTCTTAGTAGTTGTTTTGATAGTTTATATATATAGTAGGTATAGCTCAATAATAAATAGATTCTCACAGGCTACAAGGCATTAGAAAACCATTCACCATATTTGGCTTCAAGGATTTTCCTTCTAGTTCCTCATATCTATTAACTGTTGCATTTAAATAGTCAGTTTCACTACAAGATAGAAATATGTTTGTAGAATGATTGAAATATATTAGAAAAAAATAAAGCATCAAACAGAAAAGACAGTATGTACCTTGAATGAGAATCCCAATTTAGATGATTTATAGTCAGATATAAGATTCATGTAATAACCCTTAGATTATTTTGATTGGTGCAAAAGTAATTATATGACACCAACCAAATAAAAATGATGTTCTGCTTTATTATTTACTGTATATTAAATTTTTGAGCTTTTTCAAAGTCAACATGCTATATATTCTGACCCAGAACCACATGTATTTTTTCATAAGATAAATAATTAAGGTCTTGTAGTTCACTTTATTTCTAGATTAGAGTTAAACAAGAAAAGTCTATGAAACACTCGCATTGGTGTGACAACAGCATGAGAGTCTTGGATTGCTCACAATATGATTTATTTTCTGAAGGAAGTCAATCTACCTTGTACTTTAAGTTTTTGTGGAAAACTGAGTATATAATCATTTTCTAAAAACCCACTTTTCTTCTTTAATTACCCTACTGCGGCCTTTACTGCGTTTAATTTGACTGAGTGACAAGTCACCAGTTGCAAAATACAACAATTCAGGACGTTGTTATTGGTCAGAGATGTCGTGTCTTCCAGAAACGCATAGTGACTGGTCAAAATATAAAAATCATATCAACTGCAAAAGGTAAACTACCATGTGATATTTTCAGCTGACGTTTCTATAATGCAGTGGAAACCAAGTGGAGAAATCTGCTTCTCCCATTATGGCTACAAAACTAGCCTTCAGGCCAACCGAACTCAGTAGACTAACAAAGTAGCTCCTCAAAGAGTTGAACACTCTGTCCTTAGTCCTGAGAAAAACCTGTGGCACTAGAATAAGTATAAAGGACCTCATTTAAAGTATATTTCTGGATCTATAGAAACTTGTAACAACAGGGCAGAGCCTCATACGTTCCTGAACAAACACAATTCAGTCAAGTCAGTCCTGAAGTGTAAGTTATTTTAAGGGGTAGTTAGTTCTCTCAGAAAGGTTGCTGGTACTGACATGACTCTCTCAGATGACAGCTATTTGCAGGTTTACCATGCTGTGGTTTATCATGTAGATCTGTAGCAATGACCCCATCCCACTTCACCATCCCTAGATGGCAAATTTAGGTGTGTATCACCCAAGGATCCTTGGGCTCTCCAACAGCGTAACTCATGAGGCAGGAGGGACGGAGGACCCTCCCCACAGCTGAGAACTGTATTTTGGCTTCTCTGTCTCTATAGGAGCGGTCTTCTGGGGATTTTCCTTAGATTCCTTCAGTACTATTATTATAGTGCAGGCTGCTACTACAAGCAAAATACAGAGTTCAATCCTCAGATAACAGTTATCCCCACAGGATCTATCAGCCTTCCCAGCAATGATTTTATCAAACTCTTGTTATGTAACCAAATGTAAATGTATGAACTAAGCTCTTACATTACGTTAGAAAAAGGCCATTTAGCAAGGATTCATTCACGTGCGCTTCACTCCTTAACCCCCAGCCCAGGTTTTTACTTTATGTCCTTGTGAAGATAGAAATATTACTTGGTTACATTTATGAAAAGAAGCAGCAAATAGAAAATGAAATGTAAATATCTGCCTTATTATACCATTCAATATTTTTAAGTAATTGCTTCAAATCATATAATTTAGTTTGCTTTTAAAATGATGATTATTTTATGTCGTCACTCAAGCTCTAACTTGAAGTTTAAGAACTAATTTTCTCAAAGTTAAACTTAACTACAGAACCTATTGTTAAATATCATATGATTGCGAGAAATATCCAGTGGCAACCGCTACTCATACCTTACTTTTTTTATTGCCTAAAATGTAGTCAATTTGGTTCACTGAAGAGTGATGTTGGCCGGGCACTGTGGCTCAAGCCTGTAATCCCAGCACTTTGGGAGGCCGAGACGGGCGGATCACAAGGTCAGCAGATCGAGACCATCCTGGTTCACCCGGTGAAACCCCGTCTCTACTAAAAAAAAAAAAATACAAAAAACTAGCCGGGCAAGGTGGCGGGCGCCTGTAGTCCCAGCTACTCGGGAGGCTGAGGCAGGAGAATGGCGTGAACCCGGGAGGCGGAGCTTGCAGTGAGCTGAGATCCGGCCACTGCACTCCAGCCTGGGCGAGGGAGCGAGACTCCATCTCAAAAAAAAAAAAAAAAAAAAAAAAAAGCAGGAGAATGGCGGCCCGGGAGGTGGCGGAGCAGTGAGCTGGGATCTGCCACTGCACTCCAGCCTGGGCGGGAGCGAGATCTGGCTCCAAAAAAGAGTGGAGGTTAACTATGCAGGATGTAATGATTCTGCACACCTGATCAGATAAGCTTGTTGTGGAGAAACTCTTCTGATTAAATGAGTGCTATCTATCTCCTTCTGATAGATCCTCCAAAAAAAAAAAAAAAAAAAAAAAAAAAAAAGAGTGATGTTTAACTTGGGCATATATGGCGGCAGATTCTTACCTGGATCTAAGATGCTTCTGCTGGTGTGGAAATTTTCCATTTGGGAAATTAAAGTTATCTGTCCTCTTGAGGACCTCTTAAGTTTGATGAAAAGAAAAAAGCAATCAAATGAGCACTTTTTCGTGAACCATAAGACTGAAGGAGAGGTGGAGAGCATCTACCATGTGGCATATTCTGCAGCTCTGAGAGTTCGTGGTTGAGCAAATTCTTGCTTTCTCTTGTTTAGGCTTCTGAGCATATTATCTACTTTGATAATCTTGATTGCTGATCTTTTCTTCCACTCTGGGTTATACTAAAAACAATAAATGCAGGCACAAAACTAACAAGTGCATATGGTCCCTACTTTAACTCATCTCTTAAAACTGTTGTTGGAAAACTAGTTGTAAATTTCCAGTGACTTGTGATTTTTTTTATTGTCTTCTTCTTACCAAAATATAATCTAGATTCTAAAATGCCATATGAGATATGTATTTAAATTAGAAAACTGTGTTTGAATATTTATTACTCTGGTTTTATAGTGCTTGCAAATATTTTTCACATGACAGAATCCACTGGAAAAGCATTCCACAGACCCCTATTCTTAGTTGATTTATTTAACTCTATATTGTTATAAAATTCTGTACAAAATGTAATATTCAAATGAATGCAATTATTTAAATGTCTATTATAACCTAGCATAAAGTACACATACACTTTACTACCCCCAAACTATCTGGGGTTATTTATAATTAAGTCATACATCTAAACATTTGTATTTCTTTTATCAC